TTTTTGACTACAACAAATGCATACAGCTTTAGCATTTGACTTATTGTTTTCATTTTTTACTAAAGTAAAAAATTCCCAGAAATTATGAGGCTGATTCTTTTTTCGTTTCATATTTTATAGATAAATTGAAAATTATTAGCCCTGTTTAATTCTAGATCAGATCAGATTGATCGCAAAATGTGCCCTTAAATGATTGGTTATTAAATTGATTAGCGGTCAAACCGATCTACAAAAATAGATGTTCACCTAACGTGATGCGTGATATACAACATGATTCGATCGAGCTGTACAAATTGTGCTCAATTGTAATAATTATCTGATTGGCTATTTATTTTTTCGGTCGATCCAGTCTGATCTAGAATTGAACAGGGTTATTATTTTGTTACATTTTGATTTTATATAAAAAAAATTACAGACATAAACACAGTAGTTAAATAAGGAAGCAATACATCTTTAGGATGATCGGAAGTGAATTTTATTATGCAAAATCAACAAGGTTATATATTAAATGACCTAATGACTCAGGTCATAAATTTATGACCTCAGGTCATTAAAGTCATATCATGTGGTCATAAAATTTATGACCATATACCATATGATCAATGGTCATATGACCACATGACTAAAGGTCATTAAGAAATGGCCAAATGACCTTATGACTTCCCATCACTGATCTAATAACTTTAAATATCATATAAAAGAAGTTTTTAATTTTCTTAGCTCACATATTTAGGATCATTATCTTATTGAAAATCTAATATCTTCTTATTACATAATATCTAAAAATGGCTAATGCAATATTAAGTGAAATAGTTATTTAATATATTACATATTGTAGAAGAAAATCATAATTTTTACATTGAATTTTATTCTAAAAACTTTCATTATACACTTATTATGATAAGATTATAACCTTTATTATATTTAAAAATACTATTTAAATAAAGATTTTAGTTATAAATAAAAGTTATAATATCTGCTAAAAAATCTATACTATAGTAATTTTTAGATTTGCGATTTAATAAACTAATTTTCTTTTAATAAAAACTTGATATTAATTTTATATATAATTTTCATAAAAGGAACCTTTTGGATTATATCTGTAAATTTTTTAAAAAAAATAACTTAAAGTAAACTTGACAAAAAGTTAATAATTATTAACATTATTTAAAAAATAAAAAAAAAATAGTATTATTAAAATTTTTTAACTATTTATGTAATCTATTTAAAGTTCTGTAAAAATGTATAATAGTTCTTAAAATCAATATATTAAAAAAAAATTTTATATATTTAAAGATGTAAGTATTAAATAATAAAAAAATAAAGTTATTTATATAAAATGTTATTTTTTTAAAATATAAAATTTACTAGTTCTCTAACTTCTGAACTATATATGATATAAATCTATAATTTTACAGATTATTAAAATTAATATTAAAAAGAATTCTGAATAAGTCAAATTAAGTCAAATTTATTTTATAAAATCTTTCAACTTAATTTGATTCAAGTTATATAAATTTTAAACTTGATTCAATTTGACTTAACTCAATTTAAACTTGACTCAATTTTAAATTAAATTTATTTAAATCAAGTTAAGTTTAAATTAAGTTTCAAGTCATATTTAAATTAACTTGTAAATTTTAAAAAAAAAAAATTAAAAATTAAAAATTAAACGAAAAATAAAAATAATTAAAAACTAAAATAAAAAAAATGAGAAAGAGAATTAAAATAAAAAAAAAATAAAAATAAATAAAAGAAAACAAAAGAAAATCAGAAAAAAAGAATAATAGAAAGCAGCTGAAAAACTAAAAGTAAGTGCAGACTTGGGAAAATAAAAAAAAAATAAAAAATTTGAAGAATAAAAAAAATAAAATGATCAAAGAAAGAAAGGGAGAAAGGAAAAATTAAAATAAAAATAAAAAATAAAAAAATAAAATAAAAGAAATAAAAGAAGATCAGAGAGAAAAAATAATAGAAAAAAAGTAAAAAAAAAAAATGAGGGGAAGAAAAAAATAAAAAAAAGATAGAAATAAAAAAATATCAAATTAAAAAAAAATCAATCAAAATATAAAAAGAATTGATTGAAAGAAAAAAAAGAAAAAAAGAAAAAAAAGAAAAATAAGTTAATTGATAAATTGATTGATTTTTGATTAATTTAAGACAAACTGATTTATTTATTCTTAAAAAGTAAGACTAATTTAAGTCAAGTTGAGTTCAATTTGAATTTAAATTAAGTCAAATTAAATATTTAACTCAACTTAAATTTGGTATAACTTGTAAATCATTGAGTCAATTTAATTTAAATTAATTCAATTTATCTGATTTAAGAGTTAATTTAACTTATTCAGAATTCTAATATTGAACTTAAATTTAAAAAAAATTTAATAGAAATTATTAATTAACTTTAAAGAATTATAAAGAATCAAATACTTATGACTGTTATTGTAACCTCATTTTTTTTTAAAAAAAAAAAAGCAAAAAAAAATGACAATATTACTATTTTATCAACTACAATAAAGATGTCAAAAGTATGATTATACTATTTTTCTTTAAATTTTAATATTTTATATAAATCAGATCTGCTTTACTATTATAATCAACTCTTGTTATAATGAACTCTATGTCCTAGGCCTCAATTTTGTTATAAGGCTATAATAAAGATTTTAAGAGATTTGATTGGCCAATTCACTATAACAAGAGTATTTTTATTATATTTGTTCAAAAAATTCGTTATATTATGAGTTTGCTATATTAAGAGTTGACTGTATAATACATCTAACTATTCTAATTTATCATCTATTAATATAGATTAAATTAAAATTTTAGCTTACAATCATACTTATCACATACCTTGCTATAATAATAATAGGTTAAGATGCTTATATTGCTTATTATTTTACAAAATAGTATTAATAAATATGTCAAATTCTTATTAAAATATTTGCAATATTTTAATAAATAAGAAATAAAGTTAAAAGTGAAAAATAATACTTTTTATGATGATAATAATAAAACTGAACTAGTAGATTATATAGCATTAGCATTTGAGTAAGTATTACAAAATTTTCAATTATAATAAATTTTGATATTTAGTTTATAATACATATTAAAATTACTAAATAAGTTATATAATTTTAATAAATTAAATCATACAATTAGAAATTAAGTTATAACCTTTAAAATAGGCGCAGTATGATTTTTTCAAGCTAAGAAGTAAATTTATTAAATTCTAATTTTACATAATAAAATCACGTGATATATATAATATTTATAATATCAATTATAAAATTTGTGTAACATTATCGACCAATCACATGAAAGTCTTCCCAGGGAGGGGATGTGACGGGTGACAAAAGTGAGGTGATGATATCGCACATATAATTATAATTATTAAAAGAAATAAAAGAAATATATATATTATATTTATTTTTTTTAAAGTTTTTGATTTAAAATAAATAATTTATTTATATACATTATAAATATACCAAACTAAAATATTAGATGACTTTTAAAATAAATCAAGTTAATCGCTTTATATCTGTTTCAAATTTTTAAATCAAACTTAATTAGTCTAAATTACATTTATGTTAGTAAATTCAGGTGATCCATATTGTCATTCATAATGCAAACATTTTTACACCGATCTTATTTGTCTTTGTGTGTGTCTATTATAATTATGATCTATTTCTGGAAAAAAAACCGGATAGCAATGTAAGTATTTATATCATTTAATAATATTTTTTTTTTTATTGCATTGCTATTTATAAAATTTTTAAGAAAGGTTTTAAAAGTACAAAAAAAAAAAAAAAAAAATTTCCGTAAAAAAAATTTCTTATCTACATACATGCTAAAGTAAATTTTTAAAAATGTCAGAGTTAAGAAACCAATCAGCATTTTCTTACCCTTCACCAGCAACAAACACTTTACCGAGAACTGACATATCACTTCGAGAAATATTAGATACATACCGTGATAATAATGATCTGTTGAAACAGATTCTTAATGCTAAAGTTGAAGAAGATAAAGCAAGTATTTTACTCTTTGATTATTATTTTCTACTTGATGTTTGGAAGTAATCAAACTAGATATCTCGGAAGATAATTTTGTATTTGTTGACTTTCCAATAATCATTAACTTTATATATTTTTTTTTCCGAATACCTTTACAGAATTGTTAATATTTTAGTTATTAATATATTTTTTTTCTTTTAAAAAAATTAGCGTCGAGCAGAAGAAGAAAAATATAAAACAGAACAATTACGGTTACAATGTAAACAGGTTGATTTAGAGATGTTAAAAGAACAAAAGAAGCCTCCAACAATTTATACTGGAGTTCCACGTAATGATTTAATTAAAGCTAATTTAGTTTTTATTTTTGGATCAGATTGACTAATTTATTATTTTAACAGCAATAAACACATCTACACCAGGATTCAACGTGTAGTTATCACTATTTATTATTTTTAAAATTAATAATAAAAAAAGAAAAAGCTTTATATTAATATGTCTTTTTTGGATTCAACAGAAAATCTCCCTCAGACATGCATAGTCCATATTTACCTATGCCACAACCGATGGGTTCGTTGGATTTATGTTTGTATTTAAGTTATTTTTACACATTATGAACTTAACACTAAATTATAATTTCTTTAGATACAAATTATTCAGCAACAACACCAACAAGTGCAACAACGCGTTTATCGCCTCCTTCATCAGCCACTGGACATGATAATGTATCTTATAATGGGATTTCAAATTCACACAATCATTCCTACAGTTCAATGAGTCAGCGCCCTTCTTTAACACTCTCAATTCCATCATTTCCAATTATAACCGCATCTCCAACCGCTATGCATAATCATTCATTTTCTACTCCTACCAGCAGTATACCAGAACATCCACATTCTGCAACATCTACACACCATCATTATTCACAAAGTCCCACGTCCGTTACAAATAAACGTGCTAAACTTTCAAACGAAACTGAAGTAGATCATGAATATGTGATGGAAGCTTTAAGGCAGAAAGTTCAAAGAAATCAAGAAAATCCCGCAAAAAAATTTATGACTGTCTTAAAGCCTAGGAGTTCTAGTGTTCCTGTTCCTCCATTGAGTCAACAACATCACTCTCCTCATCATCATCATCAGCATCATACTAATCGTGATCAACATAAACAACAATCACCACGACGCCAACATCAATCTCAACAAGCACCAGTACCATCACCGGTGGATTCATCTCCTTTGATTCATTCACCGATTCCTCCTCAATTACCGCCTATGAATGTTCATTCTCCTAGCATGAATCAAGAACAAGTCGCAAAAACGTAAATTCGCTTTTTTTTTTAAACAGATAGTTATTGTTAACTAGGCTTAACTTTGGATTTCTTTTTTTTTTTTTTTATAATTTTTTATTTGGGCACATTTGGTTAAAACTTATCAAACTCAACTCAACAAAACAAAATCAAGTTTCAGATTATAGTTTTGAGTTTCGGTGGTTTCGATAATTTGAGTTTCACATTAGATGAGGTTTTTTTTTTTGGACAGCATCTCTAGCTGCTGTAATTATTTGGTATTTTTATCAATTTTTTTCTTTTCTTTTTTTGTAGTATTTTATTATCATCATGTTAAAATAATTGAACATTTTTAGTATATTTATTAGTGAGAAAAAGGAGATTGTAAATTTTGATTGAAAATTAAACATAATTATGATTTTATTTATCTTGGCTGGTACAAGATAAGTGATTTGGAAATTGGTGAATTAATTGGTGGAAGAGAAGTTCCGCTTATTTTTTCAATAACCTTCCTTTATTTCACAATATTTGAAAATTCATTCTTTATTTATATTAATCATGCTTATTACCCATAACATTCCTTTTTTTTTTTTTTTTTTTTTTTTTTTTTTTTTTTTTTTTTTGTTTTTGATTTACGATCGATATAATCATGTTGTTGTGCGATGATGATGATATCTTTCTTAAATCAATATAAGTTTACACACATACATATATATATAAAAAAAAATATATAATAATAAACCTCCTTCACTGTTTTATAATCTACATGTCATTCTATTGAATTATTGAATAGCTGTAATTATTTAACTTTTTAGAGTATTTGACAATATTTATTTTCTAATTCTTAAGACTCATTTAGGGGGTAACATATCAAATAAAGTTGATAAAAATTATTTTGATTTCTTATACGGATTGGTGCATTTACGCGAAATTTGATTACAATATAAAAACAACTAATATTTTATAATTTTGATTAGTTAAAGTCTAACTTAATCAAATTAACTGTTTTATTTGAAAAATAAACTAATTTATTATAATTTATCAATTGAAATCTCAGAAAAATATATTTTTTACAAATGATTAAAATACATCAGTCATCAAGACTAAAAAAATTAATTTTAATTATAAATGAAAATTTTTATTAAATTTCTAATAAAAAAAAGGTATAGATTGTTATATCTAAAATAATAATAAAATAATGTAATAATCAATTTACCAAATATTAAATTATAATACAAAATATTAGTTTTTTAATAAAAAAAAATTTATTAAATTTGATTTATTAGTTATAGAAATATTTAAGTTTAAATATTTGATAATATTAATTAACATTCATATTGGTACATAATTTTATTAAGAAAAACAAATTTTTCTGATCACAAAAATTTACAAATTAATCATTATTACTAAACTAAATAAAGGAAAATGTTAGAATAACTGGTTATTACTAATCTAAAAAGAAATCAATGGTAATCATATGTATATAAATTATTTATAAGGAAGATGTGATCTAAATTATTACTGTTTTGATTAAAAGGAATATCTGAAAAACTGTTAATAGAGAAATTGATGTTAGAGGATGCAAAGTTACTCTTTTTTGACAAATAGAAATATATAAAAATCTTTTATATTCAATCATTAATGTGCATCTAGTTTTCTATATAAGATATAAACTTATTGAAAATAAATTATAAAAAAGAAACAATGATATTAAAAATTATGGATAAAAATTTAGTAAAAAGAATTAAAGTATCAGAAAGAATAGATAGAAAAAATGCATTTAATAATATTAATAAAGGAGAAGTTATAGGATTCATCCTTATCAACCAAATATTGTGTCTTAGATGTAAAATTGAATTGAAATCATTAGGAAAGAAAGATTTTGAAAAATATAAGAAAATCTGTTATTTTAACGTAATGTTAAAATCTAGTATAATTGATTATAATGTGAATCTTATGGTAATACAAAATTAAAGATGATTAAAATTTTTATTATGATTTAAATAATAATAGCGGATGTATCAACTTTATCAGATAGCTATTCTGAATTAGATTGGTAAAGACTTCTCTTTTCAATAACTAACCAGAATCTATTATACTGATAGCATCAAGGTTAGCTATGTGATATTTAGAATGCATAGCTTATCATAATAGCTAGTATTTCAGCAGTTTAGACTAGATTTAAATATAGCCAGAATAGGCTTGTTTTTGGATACAATGACATATCAGACATATGAGTCACAGTCAGAATATTCAGGTGACCTATCACTAGAACCAAAGTAAAAAAAAATAATGATAACATTTTCAGATAAATAAATATACTGAAGATTATATAGCTTTAAAAAAATAAATATAAGTAATTATTTTAATAAAAATTTAATTTTCTGGTAATAAATTTTAGATTCTTGAATAAAGTAATATTTGATATTTCATTTTGAATGGAATGAATGTCAATAGTTATTTAATTTATAAATAATAATATTTAGTATTTCTTTTAAGTTGAAAGTAGTCTATATAATGTTTTATATTTGTAAAATCTTTTAAAGATGACTTTAAAGATTGATATATAGTTATGTAATTAAAATTAGAAATATATTTAACACAGAGAATGTGATTGAAAGAAAGTTATAGGAGGAGTGATAACAGAGATAATTTTGCTAATCAGTCAGCTTTATTATTATATAGGTCATTAAAATAAGTAGTAACTTTGATAAGAGTAAAAAAGGTAGAACATTTCTCAATAATTTTAAAGATGATAGATCATAAAATATAAAAAGAATTTTAAATATGAGTGAAAAATAATTAAATATATTAGTTCTAAGTATACTAAGAAATAGAAACCATTATGAGTTTAGAGTGAAAACTTTTATACCATCATATTAAATTTTATTAATTATTTTTATAAAATTACAAATTAAAAATCATTAATAAAAAGATATAAAATAATATGTATTGGTATTAATATTATGTGATAATTATTTATTAATAATAATTAAAAAATTAATAAAATATAATTAATTGATTTCTATTACAAAGAAGATTAAGGTCTACCTCTCTTTCTATTGCGGTCTTAATCTCTTTTGATAATTATAAAGGCTCTACCATTGCTAATTTAGAGGATGAAAGAGTTGTATCAATTATACCAATTAAATGTATCTGAAATAGTAAATCTGAAACTCTTTGTTCATGCTTACAAATTCCAGTATGTCTTGCATAGGCAATCACGATACATAAAAGTCAGGATCTTACATTAAGAAAGACTATAATAGATCTAGGTGATAAAAAGTTCAGTACAGATCTTTCTTTTATGGTAGTGTTTCAAGTACGTGCCTTTAAAGATCTTTTATTTAAACCATTTAATTTCGATAGACTTCAGCGTATTAAAGACTGCAAAAGATTAAAAGAAAGATTAGATAAAGAGAAACAATTGGTTTCTATGACATTAGGAAATAAAATATAATATCAATGGTAGATTTAACAATAAAAAAAAATGAAATGAAAAATATTTTTGATATAAAATTATTATTATTATATTTAACGCTTTATATTGTTTTATTTTTATAAAATCTATGAAATCTAACTAATGTTTCTAATTCTCTAATTCTTTCTATTTTTTTTTTTTTTTTTTTAAAAAAAAATTTTCTTTTTTCACATTTAGCATTACTGCATTAGAAATGTAATATTGTAATATATGTAGATGAGTATATCTTTTATTTATCATTTTTTATTTTTATTTTTATTATCAATGTAAATACAAATTAATTAACATAATACGTGTGAACAAATAGACTTTGCTACGTGATCTTATATATCATTAAAGTTCATAAATATATATAATCTTCCACTTTGCTCTGGACTAATAATTATATATATAAATAAGTAGAACTCTAAGTAATGCTACTATTTGATTTATTTAATATGAAATATAATATATCATTTCTAAAAATATCAAATAGTAAGATATAAATTAATAAGTTTACTTAAAATTAGGATAAACTATATTATTTCTTTTAATTTATTAAATCTATTTCTAAACTGTTTGATTTCTTAAGATACATAAATAAAAATTATTTAATATAAAGTAGTTTTTATTAAAAAAAAATGAATGAATACAAAAATTTTTACTTTATGTTACTAAAAACTATTAATTGTAAATCTTAACTAATTCCTCCATTAATTTAATCTAAAATTAGAGCTCTATACAAATTGGTTTAAATCAAATCAATCAAGTTACCTGAACTGAAAGGATCAGGTTAAGTCAAACAAATCTGATCTGATTTAAATTTTCATTTGACTTGACTTGATCTAACTTAATCTGACCTAATCAAATTATTATAAATATTATTTTTGAATGATAAAATCATCATTTTTGAATGATAACGAATCATTCTAATTGAATGATAAAACCATCATTCTTGAATAATAAATCATCATTTTTAAATGATGAAATCATTATTCTGAATAATAAATTATCATTTTTGAACGATAAAATCATCATTCTTAAATGATAAACTATCATTTTAGAATGATAATAAATCATTCTAATTGAATGATAAAATCATTATTCAAATATAATAAACCATCATTCTAGATAATAAAATAATCATTCTTAAATGATAAAACTATCATTCTCAGATGATAATGAATTGTTCTAATTGAATAATAAAATATTATTCAAGAATAATGATTGGTTAACCTGAATTTTATCAGGTCAAGTCAGATCAAGTCAACCTGTTAACCTAACCTGATATTAACCTAAAAATCTACTGATTTGACCTGAATTTTCAGGTTAGGTTAGGTTAGGTAAACTGGTCAATCTGATCTGATTTAGAGTTCTATCTAAAACTAATAATAATTATAAAATTTCATCAAGCTATCTAAGCCATAATGTAAACTGACTAATTTCTACTTTTCTGTTAGATTTAATTATTTTCTGTTTGTATTTCTATTTTTTATTTCTGTTTTTTTATTTTTATTTTCTAGTTTTTTCATATTCTGTATTCTTGTATCCTAAATATAGTTAATTGCAAGTATTTAGCTAATTACATCATTTAACTAATTATATCATTATGATTTAGTATTTACTTATTCTACTATATCTGTCTAACAAATATTTATCTTCTATTATGTTATATCACATGATTTACTTTGTCTTAATCAATATATCATTTTATGTAATTATTAAATTACTTTTTAATAATTAATATTTAATAAATTATTATTTGTTAATTAATCCTGTAATAGCAATATATAAATAGATAACAAAAAATCAGCATATATTTACTAATAGCTCAACATATCTCTTTAGGTTAATACTATATAATGCTAATGAAAATT